ATAAATCTGATGCTGGCCAAAAGGGAGAGGAAGTGGGGGAAAAAAGAATTAAGATGTAGTATGTACACCAATTCCCTGTGGTGAATGCAATCATCATGATTGCAAACAGGTACTAATGAAATTTAAAATCAAAAAAGGACTTGTAAGTACCTCCAAGGGCTGTGATGAGGATTAAGTACATTGCTATATTTGTAAAACCTATACAGTAGGGCCCGGTCTGTAGTAAGTGCTATTTTGGTACCAAACCGAGGTCCAGAAGCTCATCCCACAGAAAAACTCATGTCCAAGAGACAAGTGTTGAGGAGAAAGAAAGACCTTTATTCAGTGGCCAAAGAGTGGAGACATGGGAGCTCTGCTCACAAATCAACTGCTGCTCAACTCCCAAAGAGGCGGGCTGCACACAGAAGACAGGAATAAGGCGCAGAACGTGTAGAACGCGGCCAGTCGGGAGGGTGTGCGCGTCTTTCCTGCAGCAGGCAGAGGTTTCCCGGGACTCAGGTGCCACCTTCTCTGCCCGTTCATGGCCTGGCACTTCTGGCTATGGCAGCTGGTAGGCTTCTTCAGTCTTGAAGGGGAGAGGGAGGCTGGGCACGTCTAGGCCCTTAGCCCTGTGCCTCAGTCCTGGGGCAAAGGGTCCCCAAGTGCGCAGCATGTCTCCTCGCAGAGCGGAGGAGAATCTGACCCAAAGGCTAAGGCAGCAGAAGGCAGGACCAGCGTGAATGCAGAGATGCCGAGCCTTTCCTCCAGACACGGGCTGGTCCAAGGGGAGGGCCAGAGCCTTCGCCCAGCGCCGGCTCCAGTCCGGAAAAGTAACCCAGACAGCTGCTGTGGTCACGTCCCCCACGTCAGAGGTGCTGTCTGCAGCAAAACTGCTGGGAGACTAATGACGTATTGACCAGCCGTGTGACCTCTACATGTAGTGGTTTTAAGTCAGTTTAGAGCAAGTGATGCTAGAGTTTTTAAAAAAAAAAGTTTTTCCTTGGTAACAATTTCAGTTTTTGCTCTTATCACTTGTTCCCACTTGGACAGAGCGCCCGTGTGCTCCTGACGCTGGGCTTGGCACTGGAGATAAACAGGGGTGAAGAAGACCAGGCCCCCGCCCTCACCTAGCTTACCCCTAGTGGGGGATGGGTAAGCGGCCACAGGCACAGCCCGGCACGTGCGGCGCTCAGTCCCCACGTGCTGAGAGCAAGGAGAGGGCGCCTGCCCCTCCCCTGCCCGTCCCTCAAACCACACGGCTCAGGGCTGCTGAGACCTCTGCCCAGACCACGCACTGTCAGACTTCGGCTTGCTTTCTCCCAAAGGGGACTTTCTGAATTGGATGCTAGGTGTGGTCTTATGGAGCTGGGAACCAGCTTTGGACTGCTAGTCACAGCCCCAATTTGAGATAGAGGTTACTGGCAAAAATGGCATCTACTAGACAGTGGCCTTGTTATCTCTCTAGAAGCTTGCCCTGACAGAGCATTGTCCCTCTACACCTTTCTGTTCAGCCCAGACGGAGCACAGGTCCCCTTCCAAAGGGAGGGAGTCACCACAGAAAAACCACATGTTGCCACGTTGCGGTGGAACGTGGCTGTGACCCCAGCTACTAGGGAGGCTGAGGCAGGAGGACTGCAAGTTCAAGGCCAGCCTGGGCAACTTAGTGAGATCTTGTCTCTAAGTAAGTAAATAAACACAAATAAATTACTTGTTCCCATTTGTGAGGGTGAGGTATAACTCCCTGGGTTCAATCAATCCCCAGTAGTACAAAAAGGAAGAAAAGACGAAAGGAAAGAAGAGAAAAGAAAAGAAAAAAAGCACACTTCCAGGCTAAGAAATGTAGTTGTGGGCTCTCAGCGTGATTCATTGCTCTGGTTCTCCCAGTCTTTTGCAGGCGCTGCGGGCTGGTTCCCCTCTTGCTCCAAGCTCTCTCTACGATCTCTGCTGCTTCTCTTTCCATCGCTGAAGCAAAGACCTTTCGCCTAACTTCTGCTACCTCTTGACAGCTGCAGAAATGATGCCGCCCTGCCTGCCAGCTCATCCTGATCTCCCTGACATCTGTCTATCTTTGCCATCTGTCTCTCTGTGCCCCCTCCCTCCGTGTGTGTGTGCCTGTGTTAGTGAGGGCAGTAGAGTGGACTGCAAAGGATATGGCTTTTGTAACCAGAGGCCTGGATTCAACCCTGACTCAGCTCTAGCCAGCTTCCTTAAGCTCTCTGGGCCTTGCCTTTCTGGTCTGTAGAATGGAGATAAGGAACGCGGCCTTCAAGAATTAGTGCTGTGAGAGACGTGCAGGATGACGTGCGTCAGAGCCCGCCACTCTGACCCGGTGCGCGGTGCTAACGTGCCTTCGCCCCTCAGCCCTCGGGCAGCTGCCCTGACTTATTCTTTCCCTCCTTCTGCCCTTCACAGCGCGCGTGGGTTGCATGTAACCAGCCCATTTTCTGACGCTCTCTGACAGTGCCCTGCCTTCCTCCCTTCTCTCTGTCCTCAGTTCAGAACCGAGGCCGGGGGCACAAATGCTGGTCTCAGCCTCCACGTTCTCCAGGCCACGTTCTCCTCCACGAGAGGGGCTGCTAGGCCAGAGCCTTGTCTCCACGGTGGACCACCACAGCTGGAGCAAGACAGGCCTTGGCAGGAAAAGTATTAGGACTTCGATTACATTGTTTAATTCTAAAGAATACGAAGCTTCACTGGTGTGTGCCCCACTTGGTCTGTCCATGTCAGACCGGCGTCACATGTAGTTTGGCGTGTGACAGTGTCCTCAGGGAGGGGTGTCCAGGAGGCTGTGGCGCTGCCTTGTGTCTTTGTCATATTACAACATGGTGTGGTTCACAGTGCTCAGCTTGTGGACTTTTATGTTCTTAACGAAACTGACCCTCACAAAGGCTGATGTGACTAAAAGCTCTGGCAAAGAAATTGTGGGTTCAGAATACTACCACTAACACAATCGTAAGCAGTCGTGAAGATGCAGTGCTGATAATTCTGACGACATACCTCTGACGTGCCGTGGGTCGTGTTGCAAGGTGAAAATAATAAAACCTGTCAGACGGGACCCAAAGTATACCCAAGGGCCGAACAGTCAAGAAAACTGTGTGAAATACAGATGTGTACCTGCTGTCGTTGATAATAGCCCGGCCTTCCGTGTCGAAGTACCCAGAGAGAGCAGCTCATGATAGAGTAAAAGCTGCCGTGATTAGAAAGACGTTTACAACACGAAGACCCCAAGCGGCTGTATGAGAGGATGGAAGTATGGTTTTCTAACATGTCTCTTGGTATTTGCAAGACTCTATTTCCACAATAAATCATGTGAAGAACTGTTTCTGTAAACCACCAAAGAAAGGAGGAACCCGAGAAGATGTATTCTCACGGTGAATGACTTCTTGGCTAAAAACAAGCTTTGCCATCACTCTGGAGGTGCAGTGAGTGACACTGCACCCGAACGGGAGGCACGGGGTGAGGTCGGGGTCCCCTCCCCACGGCGCCGGAGACGTGCTGTCGCCCTCAGGTAAGCAAAGCCGGAAGACAGTTGCTGTCGGAAGTCAGCCCGCGCCACCTTCACAAAACGAGACCCTCCAGCCACATGGCGTCTGGGTGGGACTTCGCGTGAAAGAGAGCCTGGAAACGGCGTGTGCCCCTCGGGGACTCCTGTCTGTGTCATGGCGAAGGAATTTGAAAATCCTGGGTTCCATCTTCAGTACCCGCACATACGCGTACACACGCGTGTGTGCACACTCACACCTCTTTTTCCTTATTTATTCCTTGTTTACTTATTTCTGGTGCTCTGAATGGAGCCCTGGCTTCGGACGTGCTAAGCAAGGCCCCACCACTGAGCTCCATCCCCATGGTGTTCACAGTGGCTGCCTTTCCGTGGTGATGCGGGCTGTCAGCCGTGTGCTGTCTGCAAAAGCTCTCCAGGAGGGAGGACACGCTCTCTGTCCCTCCAGAGTGGTGGAGGTGTTTCCTTTGTTTTTATTTTACATCAGTTGTTTGGGGTTTTTCTCTGTGAAATAGAAGCAGGTCGTGTGAAATTGATGCAAGATGTGTGTCTGCATCAGAACGCTGACCCTCGTTTCCTAGCTGACCAGTCAACACTCAGGCATTGCCTGTAATTCTTTCCAGGTGAGGGGCAAAGCAGATTTGTCCAGCCGTGTGTGTACTGCATAACATGAATGTAGTAGAAAAATACTGTATATGCTACAGTAACTATATGAGTTAATAGATGAAAAAATGACTTCTTAGTATTTTTAAATGTTTTAATTGATAAAAACTGCATATCTTTATAGTGTACAATATAATGCCCTGAAACCAGTGAGACTTTGTCTCAAAAGTTAAAAATTTTAAAAGGGGTAGGTGTGTAGCTCTGTGTGAAGACCCTGGGTTCAATTCAGTACCACTAGGAAGGAAGGAAGGAAGGGAAAAGCAAGGGGGGGCGGAGGGAAAGGAAAGGAAAGGAAAAGGGAAGGAAAAAGAAATGCATTATAGAATGGCTAAATCAAGCTAATTAGTGTTGTATTGCCTTGCGTATAATGTAGCGGTTAATTACCTCAATTTTTAGCTGTGTTTTGTGTGTGCTTTTTTGTGGTGAGTACACTTACGAGTCTACCCTCCGAGTGATTCTCAGATCTACACACTGTTACTCCTCACTGTGTGGTATACAGCAAGTCCCCTGAATTTAGTCCTCCCATCTGACCGAACTTTGTGTCCTTTGACTGAGATCTCCCCGTCCCCATCCTGGCCCCGGGGACCGTCGCACTCTCTGCCCCGTGCACTCGCCTTTGCCAGAGTCCACGCAGAAGTGAGGTCCTGTTTTCTGTGTGTAGCTTACGGCACCCAATGCCATTTGTAATAAAAGCAAGGTGAGCCGAGAGGAGCCTGCCGAGGGCCAGGTGGTGCAGCCGCCCAGGGTGGTGGCTTGGGGGACAGGAGGCGCAGGGCCGCTAAGTGGCTGGATGTCCACCTTGCGCCCCACTTCCCAGCACGGGGACACAGGCGCCCACCTGTCTGTCCTTGCTCCTCAGCCTCCGCGGTGACCAAGGACGGCCAGCTGGACTGTCCCCTGGGGTACAGGCGGCTGAATGTGACTCACTGCCAAGGTAAGGACTGCCTGGCAGAGCTGGGCGCGGGAGGGGGTGTGAAGGGGCTGGTCACGCAGAGGTACAACCACCCCCAGAAAAGAGGGGCGTCTGTCACTGCCTGGGGGCCTCCCCTGGCACCTCCGAGCCCCAGCGTGGGAGCTGCTGGCTTGTGGGGTTAGGAAGGCGGGTACTTGTCCGAGAGTGCTGGCGTGCGCCAACGAGCCAAGCTCCGCTCCTCCCACCTGCGCCCGCCCCTGCTCAGAGCACGCTGGGTGCTGCTTAGGGCTGTGCTGTGTCCGAAGGAGTCACCCCATCCTCACACGTCCACTCCCCTGCCTCCCTGAAATGGGAGGAGTTCCCACCCAGGCAGGAGATCAAGTCAGCCGAGCTGGTACGGACCTCTGGGCTTTCCCAGTGGAGCGCTGCTCCGCCTTCCTCCCACCTGCCTCAGCCCACAGCTGGAAGGGGCAGGCGGTGGGGTGCGGGTGGCAAGGGTGGGTGTCTGAGGCCCAGCCCCTGCCCTGGCCTTGCGGGCCTGGCTCATGGCTCCGTGGGCCGGCTGAAGCTGGGGTGGTCTGTGTGAGAGAGGCCGCAGAGGGGCCAGGCGCAGGCAAGAGCAGGAGCTCACTGGTGTTTTGTCGCCATGGGGACGTGGTTCGGGGTGTGATGCGACTGGGGGCCACTTCACTGAAGGGCAGCTGCGGCCGCTGAGCAGACGCAGGAGCCCTCGTGGGCTGAGGGCCATGACACGAGCAGAGGCCTCCCGCTGGTCAGGGCCTCCCGGGGCTGGCAGGGCCCGCGGGGAGCTGAGACGACTCCCTTTCCGAGGGCTTGGACGAGTCCACAGATGGAAGCCTGCATGACCTGTTTTGGGGGAAGCTCCCAGGCATGGCCTCCCAGCCCCGCTTGCTGACCCCACTCCTCCCTTCCCCACACTGCCCCAGCCTCTGCTTCCAGGGCCTTCAGACCCCTCGCCCGGGTCTGGGGCCCTGCAGAGGGGCTCGGGAGCCTCTCAAAAAAAGCTAAGGGCCTCGGCTGCCCCCTGTCCACCCTCCAGCCAGATAGGCCCCTTCGCCCACCTCTCCCATGCCCTGCTGTGTGCCAGTCAGCAGAGCTAAGTGACTCCGGGCAGGTTACTCCCGGAGCCTCAGTTCCTTCCATAAAATGAGGACCTGCTTGCTAAAACTGTGTGTGAGCATTAAGTGGGTCTCGTATGTCAAGTTCCCAGCACGGATGGTAAATATGCACGGCAGGACAGATGCTCCGTGAGCCTCAGCTCTCTCTCCTAGGGCCACTACTACGTGCCGGGCGGGGGTTCAGCGGTTTGAGATTTTTCTCACTCGCCGTCTTTGTTCTATCTCACAAATGAGGCAACTGAGGCACAAGAAGGGGGTCGTTCTCAGTAAACAGCCGCTGTCGCCCTGTTACCCTTGGATGGGGCCCCTTCCTGCCACGGCCCTCGGGGGTGGGCACTCGGTCGTCCCCTGTGCCCTGCAGATATCAACGAGTGCCTGATCGCGGGCCTGTGCAAGGACCTGCAGTGCGTGAACACCAGAGGCAGCTACCTGTGCACGTGCAGACCGGGCCTGATGCTGGACCCATCGCGGAGCCGCTGCGTGTGTGAGTGCCGATGGGGACCAGACGTGGTGACACCCTCCAGTGCCCAGGCCAGCGCCAGGCGTTAAACCATCCCCTTCTCAACCTGGAGTCGGGCCGGTGTACAAAGCTGACCCGCTCTTCCTGCGGGAACAGGCGGTTGCCGCCTGCTTTTCTGCTGCAGGCCTTCCTCCTGGGGCTTGGCAGTGAGGGTGTGTGTTGTCTTCTCTGGGCTCTGTTTCCGCTCTGGCCGTTTCTGTCCTGTCTGCTGCCCTGTTGACCTTGGCGATGTGTGTGTGTTGCCTTGCTGTGGAGTGGCCTGGGCCCTGGCCGCCCTTCCAGTGCCTGAGCTCCGCGGCTGGTCGTGTGGCTGTTAAGATCACTTTCTTAAAGGGACATTCGTACATCAGTGGCACTGCTTCCTCGCCCCGGAGCTTCTGTATGACCCTTCTGAGCGTGTCTCATGCCCACAAACACGCATGCGTCACGAGTCCTAGGCGTTAGCGTTGGAGGAGTGTGTAGCGTACACTCCCCAGCCACTGTTTCTAGTGACCTTTGTGGTTTCCAGTGGGAGGAGGCCCAGGCTGGCAGGCTCCACATGGCAGAGCTGATGCCATGGCCCAGATGGGACTTTCCTTGGGCAGGAAGACCTGACCAAAGCTGAATAAAACCAGCGCTGACTGGCCTCTGGGGCACAGCCACCGCCAGCTTAGCAAAGTGCCCTGTGGTGGGCCAAGCGCTTGGTCTGCAAACCGCCTGGTACTGGGTCTGGGGAGGCCGTGGGGAGGAAGAAGACACTGGTGCCACCCAGAGGCCGCACCTCAGGGAAGGAAGCCTGAGCCCAGTGTCTCCAGGGAGAGGAAACTGTGGGAGCCCTAGGAGCCAGCCAGTGAGGTGGCCCCGAATGAGGACAACACAGCAGGCCATGACCGAGAAACCGCCTGTCGTGGTGGCTTTGTACTCAGAGCCTTACAGGGCTTACAGCCCTTCCTTCTCCTCCACGTCACTTAGGATTCCTGTAGCAGGCGGTGTGTTTAATGCCCTAAGTGACTTTTATTTATTGGGTAGGAAGAGACCCTGAATGCAAGGAAGCTGCACTAGCTGTGCGTGTTCTCTATTCCCCTGCCTCCCCAGTTTAGTCCCTCCAGCCTCCTCTGATCTGTCTCCTGTAGGACAGAGGACAGGCGTGTTTCTGGTTGTCACGCTCTCTCCCTGCCACCTGGCCAGGGCGGTAGAGTAGTCTGTGGGGCTGTCAGCTTCCTGACATTCCCACCTGGGTGGTCTCCACCTCGAAGGAAGTGGTCCCTGGAGGCAGAGATCACATCTATGATCCAGGGCCCAGGGACCCGCTGAGGAGTCACCTGTGCAGAGCACGGTGACCTCTGACAAGGCACCCTCGCTGGCCTCACTCCGTTTAATCTCCACAGCATCGTGAAGAAGGTTTCTGAGGCAGGAGTCTGTGGTTACAGGTTGCAGAAACCCAACCCAAACTGCCGCGAGCAAAAACAAATGAACTGACCCAAACAGTTAGGAAGTACAGGGGCAGGTGTGGGCTCCTCGGTGGCATCCAGGCAGCCACAGTGTCCTCAGGACGACTGTTGCTCTGTTTCCTGTGTTGGGTTCCTAGCTTCTTCCAAGATGGCCACCAGATGCCCTAATCCTACATTCTCTCGGCCTCACCAGCGCTGCTGTATTCCACCGTGGCCATCGCTCCTAATTACCTAGCCCATTCTTCCAGTTACCCACCCTCGTGAATGTTTTCAGGGCCCCGCGCTTCCAGATTGAGACGTGGGCCAGGCACGTCTAAGCCGTGCGGCACCCACTCCTCCACCTGTGCCCTCCGTGTGCACCTCCCTCCCGCGGGGCTGGCCGCGGCCCGCCCCCACCTGCCGTGTGTCTATTGCAGCGGACAAGGCCGTCTCCATGCAGCAGGGACTGTGCTACCGGTCGCTGGGGCCTGGCACCTGTGCCCTGCCTTTGGCCCAGAAGATCACCAAGCAGATATGCTGCTGCAGCCGTGTGGGCAAAGCATGGGGCAGCAAGTGTGAGAAATGCCCCTTGCCTGGCACAGGTAACTCCCCACCCCCATCCCAGCTCTGGCCGTCGAAGGTCTACCTCAGCGCCAGTGGCCACTTCCCCCGTCCTGGTAGATCCCTCTCAAGCCAAGGACAAGTCTTCCCGCCCTACTCAAGTACTTCTCTCAACCTGGGGCTCCCTCCCTCCCGCATTGCTTCCCACTGCTCTCCCCCAGAGCGGGGAAAGAGGACCCTGGTTTCCGGCAGGCATGGCCTCACTCACTTGCCCTCTGGCTGTTGGCTTTTCAGAGGCCTTCCGGGAGATCTGCCCTGCTGGCCACGGCTACACCTACTCGAGCTCAGACATCCGTCTGTCCATGAGGAGAGCTGAGGAGGAAGAACTGGCCGGGCCCTCGAGGGAGGAGGCTCAGCGGAGCGGCGGGGCCCTGCCTGGGCCAGGAGAGAGGCAGCCGCTGCGGGCGGCCACCAGCACCTGGCTGGAGGCTGAGAGCATCCCTGACAAGGGTATCTGGGCTGGGGGAGAGATCAGCGGTCTCCCTTTCCTCTGAGGTCACAGAGGCACAGGGCGTTTGGTCTCGGGATCTCGTCCCTGGGACGTTAGGAAGGGCAGCTGGAGCAGCAGCTGGCCCGGCACAACAGGAAGTCCTTTCCCCTTCCTGTCCCACACGGGGTGACGAGGTGCTCTTGTCCGAGGAGTTTGCTCGTGGAGTTGCGAGAGGTCAGCAGCAGCCTCGCCCCGGCCGGCCAGGCCTTCGGGGGTGGCGCTCGCCGCCATCCTGGGGGTCTGCAGGCTTTCGGTGTCCTGTCCTGGCTTTAGGCGGCAGTGCAGGAAGTGGGTTACAGAACTGGTGGGGCAGAGAGAGGGACCCTGTCCCTGGAGGCCTAGGAGAAGCAGGAGGAGCCTTCCTCTCACCGAGGGAGAGGCCGGGGCAGGCGGCAGGTAAGAGCAGGGCTCTGTTCACTGCCCTGCTGGGGACACAGTCGGGGTGCAGACTGCGAGCAGCCAGGCGTGGGCTGAGGGCCGGACCCGCTGCGTCTCTCCAGCGAGCTCATGCTCTCACCCTTCCCTTCCCAGGCGACTCTCAGGCTGGCCAGGTGAGTGGGCCTTTCCCCCGCGGAGGACGGCAAGGGTGTGGGAGAGCAGGACCCGCAGCCACCGGGGCCCCAGGCCAGCGTCCCATGGGGGAGGAGAGGGAGAAGGATAGAGCATCTGTCAGATTTTGCTTGGAGAGGTGACAGTGACCCTGCGGGAAGTGACGACACCAGCAGCCACTGTGCAGCAGCCTGTCATCTGGGGCAGTCCCGGTCCTTACGGAAGAACCGCCCTGTCAGTCCCAGCTGTCAGGCAGGCTCTGCACGTTGTGCCGGAGCGTAGTCGGTTCTGGCCCATTCTGGCTCCAGCACTGAGCCGTCGGGTCTAGCCCTCCAGGCCTGTGTGAGGTGCTCCCGGAGGAGTAGCGGCACAGCTGTAGATAGCCTCAGACCGCTTACTTCCTGGAGAAGGAGACATCCGACCCTCTTCCCTGGGCCCAGGGTCCCTCTGTGCACCCAACACTGGTTTCTACCAAGGAACCACTCCGGAAGGGGGGTTCTCCCTCGCCCTTCGCCAGCCCGCCCAGCCCTGCCAGTCCCCTGCCCTCCCACCTGCAACCCTAACCAACTTCCAGTGATGCGTCTCAGCGGCCGGCCGCCCCCCCCCCCGCACCCGGCCGCCCCCCCCCCCGCACATTCCAGACTGAAGCTTTCGTTCTGTGTCCTCACCGCTCCACTCCGCCCAAGCTCCTCTCGCCCTCTCGTCTCCTCTTCCCTGTTATCTACTTGCCCCTGTCTGCAGCGGTGATGAGGGACGCCAAGCGTGGTCCCGAGTCCTGGCCTCGCCACGCTGACTCTAGAGCCCTGGAAGCTCTAGTTAAGCTGTGGGACGTCTGTCACTCTGCCTGCGGCATGGGGGATCATAGCCTCGATTCTGTAATGCTGACGTGCACCACGCGCAGACACTCAGCTGGCGCAGAGCACACCTCGGCTGCTTTAATCACTGCAGCTTACTGTCATAAGGTAGTCGAGCAGCTCACCAAGACCGTGGTGTGAGGTGCCTAGCAGAATGCCCCGTACATGTGAGGAACTCGTCCATTCTTGGAATGAATGAAAACTGAAGGAGAGGGTCAGACAGGAAGGCTGAGGCTAGGTGCGTGCTGGGGAGGGAAGCAGTCGTGATGGTGACCGAGGAGTCCCAACTGACCTTCTCCAATTTCCACGCAGGATACAACCAGTGTCACCCACACACCTGCCTGGGTCCCAGGTGAGTCCCTCTCCTACCAGCTTTCCGGGAAAGGAGAAGGGAGGAAGCAACAGCCTTTAGTCCAGTGGTGGAGGTCCTACCCAGGAGCTGGTGCCTGGGGTTCAGTCAGAAGAGGTCGTATGTGACAGGGCACATGAACTCTCTGGGACCCCTACACCCCCAGGGGTCTGTGAAGTCAGTGAGAGACCCATGATGCTTCCCAAATATCTTCCTAGCCACCAGACTGAATCTCACGGTGCCACTTCGCACATAAATCAGGGCGAAGAAGAGGCACCGGTTGCAGCAGCGAGTTGCCCGGTTCCCCAGAGCCCTCTCCCCCAGGGGCCTCCTGTCCCCTCTGAAACCGCAGCTGATGCAGAGGCCGGGAGGCTGAGCTTCCGCTTCCTCAGCCCGTAGAATGGCCACTGACGCTGTCCTTCGGCCTCCTGAGGCCCTGAAATGTTGCTGTTTGTGGCAGAGTTGTGTAAACTATAGGAGAGCGCAGGCAGAGAAGGGTGCTGAAGTGGGACCCAGGGGACCTGGGCTCTGCTCCTGCCTCCAGCCAGCTGGCTGGCCTGGGCGAGCGGCCGTGTCTCGTTCTCCTCCCCTGGGAGGCAGAGGGTGAGACTGAGTTGTTCTAGAATTCTGACTCTGTGCGGGTCAAGTTCCAGGAGACACGGGTGACTCAGCTGAGCGCCCGCACCCCCTTGGGAGTCTGAACAGTGGAGAGAAGAGGCCAAGGCCAGGCAAGGAGGCCCCGGTCCCACCTGCTCCCCTGTGCCCCTTGCAGTGCATGCCAGTGGAAGGCCAACGCCACCCCTGCCTGAACAGGGGGTTCCAGAGACCCAGGAAGAGGAGCACCTGGCCCTTTCCACAGATGTGCTGGTGACCTCAGCTCCCCCAGGTAGCTGCAGCCGGCCGTTGGAGGCTCTCTGCCGTCACCCCGTGACATGTGGCTGACCGGAGCCAAATCCAGGGCCGGAGTGTGAGCGAAATCCCTTCCTTGCCTCTCCCACCGGATGACAATCTCCAGGGAGCTCCATCCAGGCTTTCTCTGGGGAAGGGGCCTTCTGGGAGAACCCAAAGAAGGGGAACCCGTGGAGGGGAGCTGGGCCTCTCCAGGCTATTTGCCCTGACTCAGCGAGGGCTCTGGCAGCGGCGGCCACCTGCCCAAAGGAGGGTTGTTTTGGGAAGGAACACGGTTGCTGCCCAAGTGTTTTAAGTACCCGAGGGCCTGCATTCTGCCCTCTCTGCTCAGCTACAATGATGCGGGCGGCGTGGGGAGACCCCTGGCAAATCCAGCCTGCTCTGGAACGTGCCCTCCTCAGAGCGCACTGTCCGGCACTTGGTTCAGGAGAAGCAAGGCCGGTGTTGCGGCGGCTGCTCCCACGCACTCGTGTGCTCTTCTGGCTGCCCTCTCAGGAGCTGGGTGTGCGCTTAGCTCACTGACTGAGTGCTGGGGTTCAAGTCACCTTGGCTAGAGGCAAGAGGAAGGGAGTTCTGGATTTTCTCCAGCAGCGAGAAAGCCCGTACAGGCCAGGCAGTGGGGGTTGGGGGGGGGTAGGGCTAGGGGTCAGTCTTACCGCAAATGCCCTTGGACCTTGCCAGGACCTCCCTGCCCTGGGCTCAGAGGCTCCCTGGAGCTCCAGGCAGTGTCCTTCGTCCAGCGGGAAGCACAGGCTGGGCAAGAAGGCTCAGCAGGGGCATGCTGAGTCGCTGCCGGTGCGAATGGCCTGCAGGGAAGCCAAGTCAGGCTCAGCGGGGACCCTCAACTCCACGGGCATCAGGGCCTCCCCACCCGCAGCCTCAGCCTTTTCCCGATTGCCTTCCTTCACCCTCTTCCAGCCTCACCCCGTGGGTAGACATTAGAACCTGTCAGAGACCTCTGTGATCTCCCAGGGTGACACAGACTTGGAACTAGGCCAGGGAGAGGGGGGCTCGTAGAAAGCCCAGTGTCTGCATTTGAGTCTGCGCCGTTTCCTAAGCACCGTGAATCCCCCGTGTCAACACAGGCTACTTCCACCCGAGCCCTTGGGGCTCAGGGTTCTCTCCGAGCCCTGGGGACAGGCTGGGGCCCTGGGTATGTGTGGGCTTTAGGCTAACACCCCAGGGTGGAGTCAATGAAAGCGCTGTTCATTCACTCAGCACATCGTGTGAGCTGCCTCTCTGGTATTCGGAGCACAGTTCGAAAAATCTAACTGCTGCCGTCTGTGCAGCCCCAGCCCCAGCCCCGACGAGTCTGCCTCCAAACTGTTTCTCGATCAGCACCTCTCCCCCGCTTTTTACCTCATTACCGCCTCCCGAGCCAGGCCCTCGCGTGAATGATTTCAGCGGGTTTCTGGGCCCTCTGGGGCCCTCCCCGTCAGCGCGGGGAGGGGCTTGCTGTGCGTCCAGGGGCTCTCTGTGCCAGCCCTGCCCCGCCGGCTCCCAGGCCAGCCTCTGTGCGGCATCCCGGCCCTGGTCGCTCTGCGCAGCCCTCTCTCATTCGCCCCAGACGTTTCCCATGTACCATCCTCACCAGATCTGTCATCCACCCGGGAGAAACCAGGCGGGCGTCCTGGAAGTAGGACCACCAGGCTCCGTGGTCAGAACTGTGCCCACGTACAGGGTGAGGTCAGCCTGCAGGCCTCAACAGAGAGCCATTTGCAGTGAATTCAAGTTAGTAGAAGCTATTAGGCCTTAATCAGGAGATTAACACAGCAGTGAGTTCCATCCTGGGCAGAGCTCAGGGCCCTGGCTTTGGGAAGCCCCACGGCCCCTACACAAGGCCGTGCTACACGTGGCTGTGGGAGGGCTTGTGAAGGTGGGTAGCCTCGTATTGGTCTTCTGGGACCCCTGGACCCTTGCTCCAGGGCTCTCCCCAGCCTCCTCCACTGCCTTCACCCAGCCTCCACCCTGCCATAACCTCTGCTTGCACCATCTCCTACAGGCACTGACAGATGTGCTGCTGGAGCTGCCCACATCTGCGGCCCTGGAACCTGTGTGAACCTCCCAGACGGATACAGATGCGTCTGCAACTCTGGCTACCGGCTACACCCCAGCCAGGCCTACTGCACAGGTATTCCCTTGGTGTCTTATGCCTACTCAGTGGCCAGGGTAGATCGGAGCAGGAGCAGAGAACCGAGTCAAGAGTCTGGGCAGCAGAAGGTCTAGGCAGTGCTGCATGGTTGATGAGCTTAGGGTGAGCTTAGCAGTGCAGTCCCTGTGGACAGAGCCTCCAGACCCTGGCAGACCTGGGTGCGCACCTGGCCCGAGGTGAGCGCACCCCAGACTGACCGTGCTGCTGCCTGCGGAGCAGACCGAGGTCTCCACCAGGGCCAGGCCTCGAGGAGGGGATTGGGGCCAGGATAATCGAGTGTGGACCCATCCCTCCCCTTGCCATATTTTTCTGCAAAGGCGACGTCCACTGTGGTTTTGAAGAAGAAAGGAAGTAACTTTAAGGCCATAAGAGCAAGAGGACAAGGGGCAGGGGGGCGGGCGGGCAGCCGGGACCCTAGCACCTTAGCGCCTCAGTGGGTGTGACAGGCCAACCCTGTGGCTTTTAGCCTAGCAACTCCTTTTTTTTTGAGACAGAGCCTCACTATGCAGTTCAGGCTGGTCTAGAATTCACTATGGAGCCCAGGCTGGCCTCGAACTCACAGCAATCTTCCTGCCTCAGCCTCCCAAGTGCTAGGATTATAGGCGTCCACCACCATGCCTGGCTTAGCCTAGAGGCTTTCATACCCCTGGCTCCCTCTGTCCCTCACCCTTCCATGCCACACAGCACCAGCATCTAGTGTGGGCAGGTTGCTGGCAGGTGCCCAGGGAAAGGTACACTGGCCTCCCTAACCTCCCTGCTTGTCTCCTGGTCAGATGACAACGAGTGTCTGAGGGACCCTTGTGCAGGAAGAGGGCGCTGTGTTAACAGCGTGGGCTCCTACTCCTGCCTCTGCTACCCTGGCTACACGCTGGCCACCTCGGCGGCCGCACAGGAGTGCCAAGGTAAGCGGAGCCCGCCCTGGGCCTGGCATGGGCTGCAGTGGGCCCAGAACGTGCCTGGGCCAGACCACACCGTCGGGGTGGAAGAGGGGCCTGGCGTTCGCAGCGTCAGGCCCTGTGCTGTGCGGGAGCCGCGGGGCAGAGGCAGGACTCCGGCCTGGCCCTGCGAGGAAGCTGACCCTGGCCCGATCTCAAGGCGGGAAAGGAACCCAAAAGGCAGCAGTGTTTTCAAAGGCCTCAGGGAATCGTGGCTGGAGCCAGAGGGCGTCAAGGGATTTGGCTGGAGCTGGAACCAAACGCCAGGTCTCACACTCTCAGGGGCAGGAAGCTGCTCTGCATCTTGGGGAAGGAGGAAGCCCCACTGGGACTCCTGGTAGACTGGGAAGCAGCCTTTGAGAGGAGCTCAGGTCCCAGCAGCTTGAGGCACCTGCGGGCCATCGATGCTCCCTGGGAAGGCCTGGCCCACTGCTAGGGGACCCCTGGTAAGCGCTTGCAGTGTGGACCCTGGTAACAAGAACGGTGCTTGCTTCGGCAGCACATGTACTAAAATGGGAACGACACAGATTAGCATGGCCCCTGCGCAAGGACGACGTGCAAATTCGTGACGCATTCCATATCTAAAAAGTGTCAACCAGTGGGCCCCGTATATTTTTATAAACGCATTCACAAAGAATATAAGGGAGCACTTTCTAAGCAGTGCCTTAAGATTTCTAACCAGGAGCCACGTGTTGTGGCACGTGCCTGTAATCCCAGCACTCAGAAGGCTGAGGCAGGAAGATCACTGAGAGTTCAAGGATTGCCTGAGCTACATAGTAAGACCCTGTCTCAAAAAACAAAAAACAAACAAAGATTTCTAATCAGTTTGGAAGCCTTTACCTCAGGTGTGGCACTGTCTCCTCTTGGGTTCACATTGCTGGTTCTGGCCAGGGCAGCCTAGTGGTCGTCACCCCGCCCCCAGGGGATGCAGGGGAGCTGTGTATCGTCCCATGCCAGGGTCCCCTCAGTTCACGATCCTCCCAGGGATCTGGCCTGCAGGAGCCAAAGCCTGCAGGCCCTCTGAGCTGATGACGAGGGGAGGGAGGTAGAGGAGACGCTGCCCAGTTCCACAGAGGAGTGGGGGTGCTGTGTGCCTCACTCAGTGAGCACGCAGGCACTGCACACGGGCCATGTGCCAGGACTGCGCAAAGCTCCGAGAGTGTGTGATGAGTGTGTGTGAGTGGTGACACCGTGGGTCCACATGAGCAGCACCTGCTCCGCAGGAGAGAATTTCAGGTTTCCCAGGGAGAGTGCTTGAACTAGGACAGCGCAGCGAGCACTTACATCCCAGTAATTTCTGATATAAAGCTCATCATTCAAACTCACTTTTTTTTTTTTTTTTTTTTTTTTTTTGAGACAGGGTCTCTCTATGCAGTTCAGGCTGGCCTTGAGCTCACTTTGTAGCCCAGGCTGGTCTCGAACTCTCGACAATCCTCCTGCCTCAGCCTCCCGAGTGCTGGGATTACAGGCGTGTGCCACCACGCGCAGCTCTCAAACCCACTTTATAGTTTAGCAAACTGAGGCTCAGAGAGGTGAACTAAAACACCCAGGAGCCTCGCACTTAGTTATGGCACAACTGGAAATAGAATCAAAGTCACTCCAGCTCCAAAGCACAGCTTGCTTCCAGCGACAGTCCCTTGTACGCAGGGCGTCAGACACCACCACGGAGCATGCACGGGAGTTGAGGGAGCGGCGCTCTGGGCAAAGGGGCCATCTGCAGAGACCAGAGCAGTGAGCAGGCCTGGCAGGCCTGGGGTGGTGAGGAAGTCAGTGTGCCTGAGCGTGGGGTCCAGGCAGGAGGTGGCGGGAGTTGCGGCCAGCTTGGGAAGTGCTCGAGTGCCCGGCTGAGGAGCTTGGACGCCGTCCCGGGGGCAGCGGCAGCCCGGAGAGTTTGTAAGCAGGAGCGGTGACTTCTCAGCTGGCCAGCAGGGAGGTGGCCCGGGCAGCGGTGCTCTGGGCAGGCTGGCAGCTGTGGGGGAAGCAGGTGTTGTGGCCAGAGGCCCCGCAGTCTGCAGACACAGCCCGGGCAGCTGCCCAGGGTGAGCTGCGGCCGCCTGAGGACCGGTGTCTCGGGACTGGCCCGGACGCGGGTTTTGCTCTGCTTCAGCCTGGGTGTCCGAGTGTCTCTGCCAGCCCTGATGGCTGAGGAGAGAGGGGCTGAGGCCAGCTGGAGTGCCTTTCCCAGCGGGGCTTGGCTGACACTTGAAAAGCCCTTGACTGGCACTAAGATCTGCTTTCTGAATTTCGCCAGTCTCATGAAGTGATACTCACTATTTCAGTGACTCAGTTTAATATTGAGTTAATTATGAATGCGTTTTTATGTGTGAATCAGTAATTCACAGCTAATTATGAATTAATTAGTATAATTAATTAATAGAAGCCTTTATTGTTTATATACATGGGAATGATGAATACAAGAGCTCTCAGTGTTTGCATCACTAAGAAGCGTGAGGCCATTGGCCGTGGGCCTTGGGTTTCCTCATCTGAGAGTTGCCCGTCCTGTCTTCGGCTCACTTTTCCAAGAGCAGCTGGAATGCTTACTGTTTTTCTTCTTTCCTCGCGGCTTTGTAGGAGTTCCCTGTGCATCCCTGGGGCTTAGCTGGGCTCAGATATGACAACGCACCCACTTATCCTCTGAGCCTTAACATTATCTTCATGTCCTTCTTTGAACAGAAACCCTTACTTTTGATGTATTCACATTACCTCTTTGCCTTGCTGTTAATGCTTTGGGGGTTTTATTTAAGAAGTCTCTCCCTTCCTGAAGGGTGTGGTGGTGCACACCTGTAATGCCAGCGCTTGGGAGGCTGAGGCAGGAGGATTGCTGTGAGTTGGAGGTCAGCCTGGGCTACAGAGTGAGTTCAAAGCCAACCTGAACTGCATAGCACGACCCTGTCTCAACCCCTCCACAAAGAAGTCTTTTCTTTCCTGTAAGTCACAAAGATAAGACACACTTTTTTTTTCAGTACTGGGAATTGAATTTGGGGGTGCTGTACCACTGAGTTACATCCCCAGCCCTTTTTTAAAAAATTGAAACAAAATCTTGCTAAGTTGCCCAAGCAGGACTTGAACTTGTACTCCCCTTCCCTCAGCCTCCCTACACTTTCTTTCACTAAGGGCATTGCTTTCCCTTGTACAGGATGCGTTAGCCCAGCTGAGGGCCCTCGTGTGGGCACTGAGAACCCCACCCCCATTTCCCTTTTCCTCACGCCAGGAGCCGGCTTTCCCAGTACCACTCCCGTGCGTGCTCCATGGTGGTCCCGCCCCCCACCCTGTTTAGCGGCTCTTCGCGAAGTCCCTTCTCTCTTCACTGGGATTAGAGCTTCTCCGAGTGAAGACCGGTTGTCCCTGAGCTGCTGCGGGTCCCTGGGCCTGCGCTGCGGGGCGGGGCGGCACACGGGGCCTGGCTGTGCACACGATGCCTCTGCCCGCACTCAGCCACGCTGCGGTGTTCCGAAGCCTCGCTCGGGGGAAGCACCCTCCGTGAACAAACGATCACGGTCTACTCCTTTAGTGCGTGCTTACCGGGCACAGCAGACACTTGGACCGTCAGGCGCATTCCCAGAGGTCAGGGCCTCCAAGGGCTGGGTCAGAGAGGAACCCTGGGAGGGCGCGGCAGGCAGGAGGGAAGAAGCCAGCTTCGCCAGAAGACGAGCAAGACACAGAGGGGTGGCGGGGGCGGCTCCAGGCAAGGGAACAGCGCAAGTGGAGGCTCAGCGGCAGGTCCTGGGTGGAGTACGTGTGAGGGCAGGGCAGGAGGAAAGTTGACAGGGGCAGGCCATAAAAATCTCCCACGCCGGGCTGAGGAGAGCCAACGGTTCTGCAGTGCTTGCTGCTGCTGGGCCGCTATGTGCTGAGCTTCTCGCCTCAGTGATCTCCTTTGATCTCGTTAGGACTCTGTGAAGTGTCTAGAACCAGGGCTGGGCAGGGGCAAAAGCGAGGCCTGGATGACCAGGCCTGCGGGGCGCGGGATGGGAAGTGGTCGCGGGACCAGAGATGATCCACTGAGCCGCTGCTCCCGTGGTGGTGGGAATCACGGGCCGTCCAGGCGGGGAAGGACACTTCCAGCACTTGTGTGAACAAACACTTGGAGGCTGGACCGATGGAAAGCTGCAGCCGCTAAGGCTCCCCGAGGGGCGCGTGCAAATCCGCAGCTGCAGCAAGGCTGGGCCAGGCCGTGAGCCAGGTTGCAAGTGGGACTGCAGGGGGCAGGGACGCCCCACAGGGATTAGGCAGGGAGTGACGTGACCATCACGGGCACCAGCATGCTTCGGACAGTGACTGCCACAGGCCACAGCCTGCAGATGCTTGGCCGCCTAAAATGCCCTCTCTCTGGCTGCTTGACTAACCTTTAAGAAGGTCCTTGAGAGGAACCACAGGAGTGGACCCAGTGTCTCCTGTGCTGGAGTCTGGAGCGGGTAGGGACTTTGTTGGCCTCCTCGGATCATGCCGCCTGGACCGCGTGGTCACGAGACCAGCCCTCACATGAAGAGATGGCTGTAGTAGCCGGCCTGGGAGCCCGGAAGCCAGGGGTCAGCGGGAGTCTGGCCAGTCTCAGTCCTCTCCCCTCCAGCCAACCGGGGCCGCAGCAAAGCTGCCTTCCTCACCTGCGCCTCAGCACGGTGTGCTTGTTCTGCAGAAGGTGCCTCAGGCCCCGCCAGGCTGGCTTTGCGCCAGGACTGTCCTGTGTTCACAGATGCACGGCAGCGTGAGCAGCCGGGCGGGCAGGGTGAGGCGGGCGGTGTCGCACCCCTGAGGGTGCGTACTGTACCACTGGGGTGTGGTCCTGGCTACGACTGAACAGGAAGGAATGTGGATGGGGGGCTGCTACCCCACCACTGCCCGGCACTTTGTCCCTCACTGGGTCCACTGGCGCCGAGCCCACGCCTATGCACGAGAATGTGTCTGTGAAGCCTGAGTCCTTCCCTTGCCTTGCCAATCTTTCGGCACCCTGTCTGTCCCCTACATGACACCTGGGGAAGATCTGTGCTTCCTTACTTTGAAAAACCGGCCTTCCTTATGTGATAGAGGAAGAATCCATCTATCTGGAAGCCTTCCCATGGGAGCCTTGGCTTTCTTGCTAGAGCTTGTTAGACTGTGAGCTCCTGAGGTTCAACCATATCCTTAGATGATCCACCCATGGACCCTTGATAAGCCTCCAACAAATGATGAATGCATGAAAGAAAGGAAGAAAGCAAGAAAGCAAGAAGGTAAGAAAGAAAGAAAAGAAAGAAAAGAAAGAAAGAAAGAAAGAAAGAAAGAAAGAAAGAAAGAAAAGGAAGAAAGAAAGAGGAAGGAAGGATAGATCCCAAATACTTCTCCCCTCTCCCAGATGGAGCTAAACAGCAGCGGTGGTAGCAGTGCCCACTGGTCTCTTGGTGGAATGGCTTGAGCCTGCCACCATCACAGCAGCTCTGAAAGCCTCCTGGCACCTGCGTCTCCACCACCTCCTGCCAGGCTGGGGTGTCAGATGCTTACGAAGGACGAGGCCATGTATGCCGAGACTGGTCAGTCAGGAATAAGTGAGGGTAAAACAAGGCTCTCGGGAAGACAGCAATCTGCCCAGGGCTCAGGCCCAGCGTCCCGGCCAGCACGTCCCGGATCCTGGGGTTGAGGGATGACTTTGTGCAGCTGGGAAGGATCAGCGCCCCTTCCCAACGCCAGCACCACGGAGGCAAAGTCCAGAGCCCTAGGAGGTCCTAGCAATGGGGAGAGGTGGCTGCAGGTACAGGGCAAACACCTGTCCTCACCCTGAGTGTGTTGCCTTCTCCCACTGCCCCCCTTTAGATGTCCCTGTGTAAAACTCAGGCTCTGCGTGATCAGAGCCAGAGCCTGCTCCCTCGGTCCTCATTAGAAAGCAGAACAGACACGTGGCGTTTTCCAAGCGAAGGGAGTGGGAGGCCCCCACCACTCAAGGGCACCTACTGTGTGCCAGTAGCTGCGCTATGTGCTTGGCAGGTAACCTCTTCTAAGTATCACAGCAATGTTATGAATTTGACATTAGACTTCACTGAAAAGAAAAACTACAGGAAATGAACTAAGAAATACCAGAACATTAAAATATCAGATTTACCCGAACCAGTCTGTTAAGGGCACAGGCCCTGGCGCAGGCAGGCCTGGGTCTGGCTCTTGTCTCCTGTCTGGAAATGGAAACTATCGTGTCCATCCTGGTGGCTGCAGTGAGGACGGGTGGGATAAACTGTTCTACCCGGGGTGCTGACCCACCTCCGGCTCCTACAGACCCCAGTACGTGGGGGCAAACATGCCTGTCAGAGAGCCCGCCCTTTCTCCTGTCCAGGCTCCCCCGCCCTCCTCTGACCATCCCTCCGAGCTAGAAGAGAGGTCCTAGACGTGCACTCGTGGGTGAGGTCAGGCGGAGTTCCTGCCCTGGAGACACCCGGAGACTGTTGAAAGCAAGAATGATGCAGTCTGCACACGTCTCCAGGTTTCCATCAGTAACCACAGACCCGGCCCGTCACCCCGGGAGCTCAGTCAGCTTCCTCTCCCTCTTTCTTCTTTCTCCAACAAAGAAACCGCTCTCTCCACTGAAACCCAGAGTCTCCGGTGAGAGGCTGAGTGGTCTGGACAGCAGCCAGCCAGCAGTCTCCCAGGCGTTTACGTCGTACCAGGACTCTGGGTTCCCATGGACAGCGACGGATTCTCCTGCAGACTGCCAGGGTTTTCGCCGTCCCCCACCCACGTCTGAGGTCCCCTGAGCTACTAGTCCCTGCCTGAGCGGCCTCCTCACCCCGCCCTGTGCTCCCACAAGAACAGACGTGGGCACCTTTGCATCTCCTGGACCCCGCGGCAGACAGGTTCAGGGGTCCTCCCAGGCTACATGGGACGGTCGGCCGGCAAGCTGGCCTCTGCTGTGACTGTTCGTCTGGCTCTTCGGGGGTCTCTCCAGAGGTCTTGTGCCAAGAGTGTGACGGGTGAAGTGTTGGGCATATTATTTGCTCAGCAAACCTTTGTTGAGTCCCAGCTGTGTGCCAGCTGTGCGCCAGCTGTGGGCCGGGAACACAGCAATGAATTGATAGCTCCTGCCACCAACCAGAAATTTGAAACCTACCAAAACATACTTCTTAATCCTAGATTAAAATTCATTTAATCTTAGATTAAAATTCTCTACCCCCTCACTGGCTGCAGTTCAGGCACCAAGGAGTTGGTGGAACAGCCCCAGTATGCCTGGTGGTGGAATCCGCTCCTCCGAGAACATTCATTAGGCCCCTAGGTTGGCTAGGCTAAAGGCTAATTTACATACAGTCATTGAGAAGAGCCCTTCCCAGCCTCAGTGGGGAGTGAGGGGCCGCCCTGATCTTCGGCCCTCTCCCTTGCACTTGCTGACAGGTCTCACGTGTGGTCCTTGCTGCCTGGGGCTCTGGCCTGAGGAGGGAGGCTGGTCGCGCTGCGCCGAGATAGACGCTGCGTTAGCAAACAGCCCATCCGCGCAGCAGCCCCGCGTCCATCTCGGGCAGGCCACGCGCCCACCGGGGGTCGGAGGGGTTCTGCCCCCGCCCCGTTTCCCTACTCTAGAAGTAGGCTGAAGGAGGAGCCAGTCTCTGGAACAGGGCCAGTCTCCTCGGAGGGAAGAAAGAGTGCCCCAGAGGGCTGTGTAAATGCTGTGTTCCAGTCGCACACGCCATGTCCACTCAGAGCTCGCTGGCCTGCCCAGGCTGCTAGTCCCACCCAACCGCAGCGGACCAAGAGGCACAGCCCACCGTGGCCCAGGGCGGAAAGCGTGAGTGAGCACAGGCCTCCCGGGGGGTTCAGTGCCAGGGGCTGCTGTGTCACTGCCAGCAGACGTGCCCAGCACATCAGGGGGAAGACAGCTTCAGGGACCCTCCTCTGGGCAACCCTAATTTCCCTGCATTATTTGGCCCCTGCAAGAGAGGCCCAAGACTTTATTCTTTCTCATTGTGGATTTAGGGGATCCCTATGCCAGGGTTTTTATTCTCATCCCCGAAGGCTTGCATCCCTGAAGCGATCAATGGCTTCGTGGCCCTCCTTCGGGTACCTCAGCCAGGACCAAAAAGGGCATGGTGTTGGACGCTCTCCCCAGAGTGGCCTCGATTGGTGGCCCTGACTCCTTCATTTTCTCCATGTGTGTCTCACTTCCCCCATCTTGTCTTTACATCTTAGAATGATTGAAGCTGGTATCACCATAACTCAAGTAGGGGCTGATGGTTTCTACCGTTCCAGAGGTGAGCCTTGTATCCCAGCATCACCCAGGAGCTGTGGGCATCTCTTTGCAGATTCTTACCCAACACCCACCATCCCTGTGCACCCTCTTCTGGATCCCTGGGGTGTAGCTTTGGGCTCACGCAGTCCCGTTCCCTGGGACAGAGAACTTCCACGTGTCCTAACTTCTGCAGGCCAAACAAGTGCCCGGGGACTATTTTCACCCTGTGTCTTTGGGTCTCCATCCTGTCTGCGGTGTCAGCTGTTGGCTTTAGTCCCTTTGCCGAAGGCCTGTGTTCTGCCCTTTGACCAGTCTCCTACATTCTCTCTATGGGTGCTGAGTAGATCTTCCTTCTGCCAGGAGGCCTCTGAATCGCACAAGTGGTGCACTTCCTCCGGGAGAGTGGGAATTACCCATTTAGGAAGAATAAATCCTCCTGTTTCCTTTGGAGCTGGGCCAATCTGTCATAAACGGGGAGCAGGAGACTTGACACTGGGCAAGAGGAGCATAATGTCCTGCGTCTCGACTCAGAGTTCAGCCTTTTTTCAGTCCAGATCCCCTTGGTACCTGGAATGATGGACTCCCCAGCAGGCCAAGTCACTGGGGAAGAACTCTGCAGTCGACTCCGAGGGAGCGGCTCCCCCTCTTCCCCCTTGCTGTCGCCCATGTCCCTGCCTGTCTGTTTGGAGCCCACGCTCGTCCGTTCTGTCTGATGTCCTTGGATCTCAGCAGCGTGGGCTCCAAGACCCCTACACCCCTTGACCAGAAGGAGGGTCTGACACTGCTCCAGCAGGGCATCCGTGCCAGCCCTGTCCCTTTGGTCTACCCTCAGCTTCAAGGCTGAGCTGGGCCACATCCAGGATGGAGGTTCATCCTTGGTCCTCGTTTCCAGAGGAAGGAAAGCTCATTTTTGCTTTACTACCCCTCTGCTGAGCTGTGGAGAGTCCAACAGGTTCCTGTCAAGCACAACCCGTCCCAGTGATGGTCACTGCTTGTAAAGGGTTAGGAGCTCCCCAAGGGAGCTGTGAAAGCCCTTCCCAAACAGTCCAGCTCACAAAACAGCACTCTGTGACCCTCCCGTGGCTGGCAGTAACCGCAGCCAGCAGCACCCACGCCAGAGTCTCCCCCTCCCACTTTTAGGTCCTTCCATCTCTCCTTTGTCCGGGACAGTGGGTGGGAGGTGGAGTTGAGAACACAGGGCAAGTCTCATTTTTTCCTTGTTTTTCTCTGTCCTGACACTGACGTCTCTCTCCTCAACCAAGGGCAGGCCGCGGAGCTGCTGTGTCACAGGACTCCCCGTGGGCTGTGGCTCCCAGAGATGACCAAGGGAGGGGCTGTTATTTTACAGATATTGACGAATGTCGTCAGCCCGGCACCTGCCCCGACGGGCGATGCGTCAACTCCCCCGGCTCCTACACTTGCCTGGCCTGTGAGGAGGGCTACCGGGGTCAGAGCGGGAGCTGTGTAGGTGAGGGCTACTTGCCAAGGCACCACGAGGGGGTTTGGCCTTGGGGCTCCTGCTTGAGCCCACACACAGGGAGGGCAGAGGCGGGCAGAGGGAGGTGGCGTGGAGGCTGTTGTCGCCACGATCTGGCTGTGTTGCCCGGTGACCTGGGCCCGACATGGGTGTTCTTCCATTATGCTGCTCTGCCCTCTGACTCAGCCGGGGTGAGGTCTCTCTCTCTGGCCACATCCGCTTGAAGCTGCAGCCCGAGGTCCCAGGAGTTTCTGTGGCTGGCTCCTCCGGGGTGGGTGGGGAGCCCCGGGCTTGGGACGAGGCAGAGCGGTGCTGAGAGCCGGCAGCCAGGCCCCTCTGCGCTTCTGTCCAGCAGCACTCAGCAGCGGTCACCCCTCTCCTCTGGAGGCGTGCGTGTGAGCAGGAGGAGTAGTGTCCTCTCCCCGCCACCCCGCAGGAAGAAGGACCTGGGGATCAGCATGCTGGGGGGGATGGTGTTTCCAGCAGACACTTGAGGCTCTGGAGAGGGCAGACGGCTCCCAGGCCCTCAGGACGCCCCAGCCGCCCAGGCCTGGCCGGCCTCCCTCCGCACGGCCCACCGGCTCACTAAAGCTGGCTGTTCAGCTGGGAACATGGGTTGTTAGGTGACAGGTAGGGGACTGGAGAGGCTCAGACCCGCGAGGAGGCGAGCCAGGGTCTTGGAACTCCTCATCCCAGTGTCCTCAGAGGGGCCAAGCCAGCCCGAAGCCGGGGGACCTGGCCCCTTTCTCTGGGTGTACGCAGAGTTCTGTGTTTGAGACAGGCCTGAGGGGCGCTCAGGACAGAGATCCTGCCTTGCCGGGTGGCATGAGGGAATGTGGCTTCATGGCCTCCCTGGGTGGCCTAGAGCCCCTCCGAAGGCTGTTCACCAGCCGCTCAGTTGAGATGCTCAAAGCCTGCCACGGGCGGCTGCAGAGGGCCAGCCTCACCCGGACTTCTCTCGACAGATGTGAACGAGTGTCTGACCCCGGGGGTCTGTGCCCACGGGCGGTGCGTCAACCTGGAAGGCTCCTTTAGATGCTCTTGTGAGCAGGGCTACGAGGTCACCTCAGACAAGAAGGGCTGCCAAGGTACAAAGAGGCCGAGGCACCTTTCTCCACAGGCACATGCCCCCCCACCCCTGCCCGTGCACCCCCAAGCGCGCTGCCCCAGCACAGCCCCACCCGTGTGCCAGTCCCGGGGGGCCTGGGATGTCTGCCCCACAGTCCCACACGGAATGATGGCCTGTTGCAGATGTGAACGAGTGTGCCAGCCGGGCCTCGTGCCCCAAAGGCCTCTGCGTCAACACCGAGGGCTCCTTCACCTGCTCCGCCTGCGAGAGCGGGTACTGGGTGAATGCAGACGGCACGGCCTGTGAAGGTAGCGCTGGGGAGGCGGTGGCGGAATGGACAGTATGGGGCTCCTCACTCCCCCAGTGGGGCTGGTGCTGAGGGGCTTAGCTCAGGAGTCCTGTGAACGGACGTGGCCCCGAGGACAGCTTCTGCTGCCCTCAGCTCCAAGCTCAAAAGGGAGGCAGGGGAAACAGGAGGTCACAGAGAGGGAGGGAAACTGAGGGCAAAGCGCCTGTGGAGCTTTCCAGGGAGATGTGGGAGTGAGGTGAGCAGGCCCGCACGCCTCTGGACTTTACCGAGGGTCCTCCGCCAGGGCTGCCCTTCTCCAGGGCCCAGAGTCCTCCCCGCTCAGACAGGGCCCAGAGGGGTGGTGCGGGCCTCACTGGGGCCCTGACCGCACTGCCCGCTCAGACCTAGATGAGTGCACCTTCCCCGGAGTCTGCCCGGCGGGCGTCTGCACCAACACTGTGGGCTCCTTCTCCTGCAAAGACTGCGCTGAGGGCTACCGGCCCGGCCCCCTGGGCCGCGCCTGTGAAGGTGAGAGGGGGCAGGTGGCAGAAGGGACAGGGGCCCCCCGCCCTCCGAGGGTGGTGGGCTGGCTCGGGACACCTGTTCTCGCCTCTCTGAGTAGACGTCAGGAAGGCGACCACAGGCCGAGGGGCCCGGAGCCAGTGGGGCTCTCAGGCCACAGTGCGCGTTAGCATCACCGCGGGCGACGTCCCACACGCAGCTCCCTGGTCCTGCTCTGGACTCGCCTCTGGACGCCGGAGGGCCCTGGAATCCGCACTCTGACAGCCCCTCGGGAGTTCCCTGTAGGGGTGGCTGCTGGCTGAGCACACTAGCCTGTACCAGGCATTCTCTCTGCCATACCTGTTCCCTTGGTTCATTTCCCATGGCGTCTCGGTGAAATCTGAGCCCCCTTGGCCAGGACAGGGGCAGGGCTGCTGTGCAGGGCCGGCGGTGGAGGATCCCAGCCAGAGCGGGGCCAGACGGTCAGCGCTGTATTCCTCCCGCTCCCCTGGGTGCCCTCGCCAGCTTGCCCCGGCTGTGCTGCTCCGTGAGGGCGGGATGGCCCCCGGGGCCAGTCTCTCCAGGCAGGAGACAGGTCGGTGGGACAGCTCGCCCTCAGTTCTCCCCTTGGGAGGAGCCGCGGTTAGCTGCCCCCTCCTCCGTGTGGCCCTGCAGACGTGGATGAGTGCGAGGACCCCCGCAGCAGCTGCCTGGGAGGCGAGTGCAAGAACACGGCAGGCTCCTACCAGTGCCTCTGTCCCCCGGGCCTCCAGCTGGCCAATGGCACCGTGTGCGAGGGTGAGCGCTCAGCTGCCCGCTGGGCTGGGAGCAGCAACGTGGGGGAGGCAGGAACCCCGACACGCCCCTGCTGCCCTTCTCCGCAGACGTGGACGAGTGCGCAGGGGAGGAGCACTGTGCGCCCCACGGCGAGTGCCTCAACAGCCACGGGTCCTTCTTCTGTCTCTGTGCACCCGGCTTTGCCAGCGTGGAGCGGGGCACAAGCTGCCAGGGTGAGACCCCGGCGTGGCCACGTGGGGCGGCAGCGGGTGCTGGAGGCCGTGTCCGCAGTGCAGCCCGTCCGCATGCAGTACTGAGAAAACCTGAAAAGCTCGAGGCCTCAGCCAGAGGCATGGGAGCCGGGGTCTGGGGAGGGACTCGGAGCCTCTCAGCGGGGCCTCTCCGCCACATCTGAGGCAGGCACGCACCTGCTCCAAGCTGTCACCCCGCTTCCCTGACAGAGCCGCCCGCCAGCTCCCCCAGCCCCAGCATGGCCCCGTTTCCAGCTCTGGCCCCTCCCTTGGATCCCCCCTTCCCGCCTCAGCACCCCTGCCCTCCTGGGAAGCTCCTCAGGGCTACGTGGGGAGCTGACGGGGAGGGACCTGCTGAGGCTGCTGACAGATGTTTCTCCTCCAGATGTGGATGAGTGCGCAGCCACAGACCCCTGTGTGGGAGGGCGCTGCGTCAACACCGAGGGCTCCTTCGACTGTCTGTGCGAGGCTGGCTTCCGGCCCTCCCCGGAGAGCGGGCAGTGTGTGGGTAAGAGCTGCAGCGGAGCGGTCAGGCCCCTGCCCACGTCTGCCCACCTCTCTGGTCCTCGGCTCCCTGGAACAAGGAACTGCTGCTCCCTTCAGGAGGGCAGCAGGATACTCTCCTGCTTACCCACCCGGCGGAGAACACCCTTCTCAGGCCCCTGCTGGCCCAGGGACCGTGTGAGGCTGACAGAATGAAGACAGCCATAGCCTGTGTGCTGGCGGAGCTCACATCGAGTTCTAAAGGCCAGGCTGATAGACACCAAACACCTGCTAGGCTCAGTGTCTTTTGTTAGGACAGTTGTAGGCAGTCTTAAAACTGAGCAAGGGAGAGTCAGGAGGATTGCTGCCTGCAGCCCGCCACGGTGAAAGCTGAACGCAGAGGAAGTGTAAAGTGCTCCACTGCTGGGGACAGGAGACAGTCTGGGGACAGGAAGGCAGGGTCACAGAAGGCCAGGAGCTCTTCTGAAATCGCATGCAGTTCTCTTCCTAGACGCTCAGGCCTGCTGGGCCCGGGGATGATAGCGAACCTGACAGGGTGGGGCGAGATAAGCCCAGTCATTGGAACAAATCAGTGACCTTGTGATGCCAGCAAGGTGGGGCCAGAGCAGAGGCGGCCTGGTCACGCCTGTGCCCTCTCTCGGCCCTGGGGACAGATATTGACGAGTGTGAGGACGACGGGGCCCCAGTGTGCGGGGCCTGGAGGTGTGAGAACAGCCCTGGCTCCTACCGCTGTGTCCTGGGCTGCCAGCCTGGCTTCTACATGGCCCCGACTGGAGACTGCATCGGTGAGTGGGCGCGGGAGCCGAGGGCGGGCGGGCCGAGCACATCTGCTCCTCCCTGCCCTGAGCTATGCGTGATCTTCTCCGCGGACACGGGCTGTGCAGATGTTTGACGTTTCCATACAGCAGACTTTATACAAAAACTGCAAAGCAATGCTGCTGTCGGGGCTTCCGTGTCTGGTGTGCAGAGGTCGCTTTCCACACCTCTTCGTATCTGTCCTGGGCGAACAGTCCGCCCACACCCTCCCGCCCTGCTCTCCCGCAGACGTAGACGAGTGTGCCAACGACACCGTGTGTGGGAGCCACGGCTTCTGTGACAACACGGACGGCTCGTTCCGCTGCCTCTGTGACCAGGGCTTCGAGACCTCCCCCTCAGGCTGGGACTGTGTTGGTGAGAAGCCTTCGGGGTACCCAGGGTCTGGGCCAGGGGAGGCCCTTGGGCCCGGCTCATCTCCATGGGTCTTGACTGTCCTGAGTGGAAGCCCTAGGACTCTCCCCTCCTGAAACATTCAGGGTCTCCTGGCTCCATGATGGGTCCCCAGTGGGTGGGCAAAGGGACGCCTGGAGGAAGAACTTCAACTGCCCCTGTGGCTGCCATCTCTGCCGGGCTGGAAGGGGAAGCATGGCCTGGTCCTGCCAGCAGAGGAGGCAAGGAGGTGGAGGACACCCACCCGCCGCAGCCCCACTACCACCATCGGTTTCCCTGGAGACCCGAGCCTGGAGGCGCCGTGCTCACAGTGTCCCGGGCGATGACCCCTCCTCTCTGCCACCCCTCACCTCTGGCCACCTGCCCCCCCCACTAACTCACACCCACTTTTACTTCCTTCTGGCCAGGCCTAGCGTGGCTCTTTTGGGGATCAGGACTTGACGTGGCTGGGTGGGAGTGAGGGCCAGGGCACGGGCTGCCTCCCCTCGGCCCACAAGCCCGTCCTCCCTCCCGCCTGGCAGATGTGAACGAGTGTGAGCTCATGCTCGCCGTGTGCGGGGCCGCTCTCTGCGAGAACGTGGAGGGCTCCTTCCTGTGCCTCTGCGCCAGCGACGGGGAGGAGTATGACGCGAAAGAAGGGCTCTGCCGTCCCCGGGGGGCTGGAGGTGAGATCCCGCAGCCTCTCAGGAACGCCATCCCTCCCGTCATTGCCCACGATGGCGCCACGGCCTGCACCAGGCATCTGCTCCTCTATCCGCAGGCCACTGAGAGGGAGACCGGGCAGGGTCTGGGGCAGCGTGAAGAGCAGGTTGGGAATGGAGTGGGAGGGGCCAGGCGTCTGCCTCCGGCAGGTGCCAAAACCAGAGAGGTCGGCTCCCGGCCAGGCAGCATCCCTGCTTGGGTGTGACCACCTGGGGGCAGTCAGGATGCTGATTTAGAGTGGCCCCAGGGAGCTTGGATGGAGCCTTAGAGGGGCCCTAATCCACTCAACCCCTGTGAGTCTTCTGCTGAGGACTTGAGCCCGAGCTGCGCCGCACTGTCCCCTCCTCTCTCCACCCCAGGGCTGCAGGCTCAGCTTCTCCCCAGGGTGGCCCAGGACGCAGCTGGCCTCAGTGACTTGCGGGAGAAGTAGGGGACCTTGTAGAGAACAAGGAAGGGTGGGAGGGCTAGGTACCTGCGAGGCGGGACGGATCGGAGTCCTGTGCCAGGAGCTGGGAGCAGCCCACAGGGAGGAAAGCAGGGAAGGACAGAGCAGGGGCCTCGGTATCAGAGGAACCCCGGCCTCACCCGTAACAGCTGTGTGGCTGTGGCGAGCCGCCTAGTTTCACTAAGCTCAGCTTCAGCTGTTGCAGGGAAACGATCATAGTACCGACCCGCAGGGTTGCTGAAAGCACCTGAGAGATAACGTGGGTGACAGCGTTTTGTACATCATAACGCTGCGTATAAAAGACATACTCAGGAGCGGGAGTGCCTCAGACAGTCCTGAAGGGACAGTAACGAGGGGCGTCTACCACACAGCTCAGAGCATCTCCGAGACCCCAGCCGGGGAGCATGCCTCGGGCGCCCTCCGCATGGCCTGCTACTCCGGGCAGGATGGCCGTCCGCCCTGCTCCAGCGTCCTGGGCTGGAACTCCACGCACGCCCAGTGCTGCTGCACGCAGGGCGCCAGGTGGGGAGACAGCTGTGACCTCTGCCCGCCGGAGGGCTCTGGTGAGACCCCGAGGGGCCGTCCCTGAGAGTCAGCAGTTCGGGTGACACCCGAAAGAGGGAGGAGGAAGGGGCACCCCTCCCTGTCCAGAATGAGACTCCGCCCTTCACAGGTGAATTCGGCGCGCTCTGCCCCAGTGGGAAAGGCTACGTCCCTGTGGAGGGAGACTGGACATTCGCGCAGACCATGTACACAGGTGGGCTCCCTCGCCCTCCCCAGACACCAGCGCTGGAGTGGCCCTGGCCTGGTCCTCCTTGGGAAGCCCCATCCGGCCCGGCCTGCAGGGGCTCCACCTGTTCTGGCCCACTCCCTGCAGCCCTGGCTACAGGCTCTGAGCCGAGCTCCTCCTCGCGCATCCACATGACCTGGGCTCAGTCTCCCCACTTGCTCGGGGCTGTGCCTCCCAGGAACACACTGGCGCCTGGGCACCCCGCACCTGTCTTAGTGGGCCCGGGGACAGGGCGAAGGAAGGCGCTGCAGCGGCCTCTCTCCCTGGCTCCACTCAGTGCCTGAGTCCGAAAGCTAGTCCTGGGAAGGGGGTGACTGAGGTGGAAGCAGCTCGTGTGTATGAGTGCAGTACCGGGGCCGGAACCTAGGGCCCCAGGCATGCGAGGCAGGCGCTCTACCACTGAGCTTCGTCCCCAGCCCCAGAAGCAGCCTGAGTGCCGCTTCGTGCCAAGCACTCACTTTGAGTACCTTTACGTATATTAGAGCCTTTAACCCCTGTGACTAGAAGAGGTTAAGAGCTAGCCACATTTTTAAGAAACAAAAACTGAAGCAAGGAGAAGGTAAGCAACTTGATCAAAGTCAGTCAACTCCTAGGGGGCAGGGCCGGGATTCAGACCCAGACAGTCCGACGCAGAGCCCCTGCTTGTAAGAACTGCCTCCTACCACTCCCCGCATCCCACCCCTCTGCCCTCCGCAGATGCCGACGAGTGTGCGCTGTTCGGGCCTGCGCTCTGCCAGAACGGCAGGTGCCTCAACACGGTGCCCGGCTACATCTGCCTGTGCAATCCTGGCTACCACTACTCGGCCTCCCGCGGGAAGTGCGAGGGTGAGGACTGACCTGGCCCTGCCCACCCCCACCCCGGCAGCCAGCGTCTCGCTGGGAGGCCCCCTTCCTGGGAAGATGTCCACAGCAGGCAGGTCTGAGTGAGGGAAGCTCTGGGCCCTCAGAACCTGTTCCTGGGTGGATGTGAGGGGCATCTCTTCTGCGACCCATCGCGGGAAGCCCCTTCCATGAGCACAGTCTGCGACAGGCCCCCTCCCTCCGCCTCCCCCGCCCCGCCCCTGCAGATCACAACGAGTGCCAGGACCTGGCCTGTGAGAACGGCGAGTGTGTGAACACGGAGGGCTCCTTCCACTGCTTCTGCAGCCCGCCCCTCACCCTGGACCTCAGCGGGCAGCGCTGCGTGAACGGCACCGGCAGCGTGGGTGAGTGGCCTTGGCTGTGGGCCACAGGGGCCGTGGGCCCGGGCCAAGCTCACGTGCCTCTGGGTCCTCTGCCACCAGAGGACCTGCCTGACCATGACATCCACATGGACGTCTGCTGGAGAAAGGTCACCAATGACGTGTGCAGCCAACCCCTGCGCGGGCACCAGACCACCTACACGGAGTGCTGCTGTCAGGGTGGCGAGGCCTGGAGCCAGCAGTGTGCTCTGTGTCCCCCCAGGAGCTCTGGTGAGGGACTCCCCGGGGAGGGCACCCTACCCTTGGGAAGTAGAGCAGGGTAGTGGCCTTGTCTTCCACCCATGGTTTGGGAGGGGAGTGCGCTGGAGCTCCCAGCCGACCCCAGTCCCCCACATCCCCTCTGCTGGGGGCGCCTGCCACGCTGCAACCCAGCCAGCCCAGCTCTAGCCAGCGGGAGCTGAGCCCAGCAGCCCCCTTCTCCCCCACAGAGGTCTATGCTCAGCTCTGCAACGTGGCCCGGATTGAGGCGGAGCGGGAGGCCGGGGTCCACTTCCGGCCAGGCTATGAGTACGGCCCTGGCCCAGAGGACCTGCACTACAGCCTTTATGGCCCAGAGGGCGCCCCCTTCTACAGCTACCTGGGTCCTGAGGACACCGTCCTCGAGGCCCCGTTCTCCAGCACAGCCAGACAACCAGGGGACCCCACCCTTGCCTTTGAGCTGCCCCTGCAGCCCTCCGAACTCCAGCCCCGCTATGTGGCCAGCCATCCAGGTGTGTTGCAAAACGGGGGAGGCGGGCCCTGGGCTGTTCCCCTTCCCTCTCCCCGACCCCGGGTCGTGCTGGCAGCAGGGTCAGGGAGGAGGAGGGAAGCCGCATGTCTCTGCTTATGGGTCACTATGGACATTAACTCCAAATGCCAGGGTCAGGCCCTACGAACTCCCTGTGATGAACTAGCACAGGGACAGATACAGGGCACTGTCCCAACCTTGAAAGTCTCCCTGGGGCCCGGGGTACAGCTCAGTGGCACAATGCCTGCCTGGCAAGTACAAGGTCCTGAGTTCGATTCCCCCTACCAAAAAAAAGTCTCCCTGTGAGAGCTGGGAGCAGCAGAGAGTGGCCGTGCTGCCGCCTGTCACTTACAGGCTGCAGAACAGCTTTCCAAGGAAACTGGCGGTTGAACTCGTGCCCTGAGGTGTGAATCGAGGACTTCAGGACCCTTAATGGCCCACTGTGCTGACCCCCCGTTTGTGGGTGGCGTGAGCCCGGCCCGCAGACTCAGACCCTCAGGAGTCAGGCCTGGCCTTGTGTGGTGGGTACAGTGCCCGCCACAGGCGCGGCCCCTGCCAGGCCGACTGGGACCCCACCACGGGGGAAGGGTCGTTTCTAGGGGGCGCAGCGTGCTCAGGGAGAGAAGAGGGTGAGGCGGGTCAGGTTTGCTTTGTGCTGAGTGAGGCCTCTCTGCTGTCAACCGCACCCCAAAGACGATGCAAACACGTCAATAAAGCAGCTTGCCCACACCAAACCCGCAGCTGCACACAGACGTGCAGGCGGGCTGCGCGCCCTGGGACGTCGCCCTTCCCGGCCTCGCGTGTAGCACGTGGGCCGTGGGCCCGCCCCGTCACCCCACCGCCCCTCCCCGCGGCGAGGGCCTCAGCCTCTGACCACCGCCGCAGCTGCCTTCGAAGGGCTGCGGGCCGAGGAGTGCGGCGTCCTGAACGGCTGCGAGAACGGCCGCTGCGTGCGCGTGCAGGAGGGCTACACCTGCGACTGCCTCGACGGCTTCCAGCTGGACGCGGCCCGCATGGCCTGCGTGGGTAAGCGCGGCCGAGCCCGCGCCCGCTCGGGGCGGGGGGACTGCGCGTCCCCCGTTGCTGGGTCGGGGAGGGGACGGAGCCTCGGCCGTCACACGCAGGGCTCCACCACGGGCGGGCCAGGGCTCCGCGACAGGGACAGCGCTCCCCACAGCGTCCTGTTCCCCCCACCTAGACGTGAACGAGTGCGACGACTTGAACGGCCCCGCCGCGCTCTGCGCCCACGGCCGCTGCGAGAACACAGAGGGCGCCTACCGCTGCCACTGCTCCCCAGGTTACGTGGCCAAGCCAGACCCGCCGCACTGTGCCAAGGAGTAGCTGCCTGGAGTCGCCCCCAGCCGCGGGCGGACGCCTTGCGGACGCTGTCCTGGCTGGGGCGACACCAGCACCCCAGGCTGGGTCCTGCAGCCCTGGCTCTGGCTGCGAGCTTGTCACTGCCTCCGTGCCCTGCTCGGCTGCAGCACCACCTAATGCTTTAACGCTGCGGCCACGGCCCGAGGCCCCGCCCACCGCCTGGCCCGGCCGGGGACGCTATCAGACCCCCGGGGGCAAACGCAGGTCCCGCGGCCGCGCCCTGCAGGCTCCCCTCCGGCTCTCACGCACAGCGCCTCGATCCCACAGCTGCGCAGAGGCTGCGCCGGCCCCGGGGCGGTGCTTCGGAACCTGAGCGCCAGACCGGGTTTGAGAGCTCGGGGGTGATCCGGTGCCTCTCAGCACTGTCGCCGCCGCCCAGTCCGCTGTGGGCCCTGCTTCTGCCACACCTCCATCCAGCTGGCGGCCCCAGGGAAGGTCAGAGGACCCGTTCATCTCTGAGAAGCAAGACTGATGCTAGCTTGCTGAATGCCAGCCACAGGAAGAGGAGCAAAGAGCCGAACAAGAAGGCAGTATGAAAACAAGGAGAGCGGATACAGAAGGGAGCCGCTGCCTTTACAAGTCCAAAGAAAGTGTTCGGCAGCTTTGGGTAAATACTCAGAACTCACCCAGCCATAGCCCCTGGGCACCGGCAGCAGGGCTGCCACCGGAGCACTCGTCTCCAAAGACCTTTATTAAACACATGCACTTCTCGCAGGACACAGATCTCCTCTGCGCTTTTTTTGGTGAAAGCCAGCTGATCTGCTAACAGTAAAAAGCTCTATTTTCTAGTGTGGTCCTGTTCAGAGGAAGGCAGATTTCCAATGTTGTTGTTCTCTTCTCTCAGAGCCTGGGCCCATCCCGTTCTGAAAATGGATGTCTGGAACCCCTCTGGGCTTACAAGTAGAGACTTCTCCAACCCAGGCTAGCTGGGAGCTCAGAACCATGGTAAAGAAATGCACACCCAGGGGGCGGGGATACAGCTCAGCAGCACAGCACCTGTCTGGCAAGCACCGGATCCTGAGTTTGATTCCCAGTTCCAAAAAAAAAACAGAAATATACACCCTGACTCTTCCGTTTCCTGTTTTTATTTCACATTAGACCAATTTTCTTTACCCATGGGCTAAGTCTAAAAATGAGATGAGGCCAGCTCTGCCAATAGCATGCCCTTTGGTTCCAAGGGGAAGGTTCTTTACTATTTGAAGACAAGGAAAACTGTGACGACTTCAGGTGAACAGCAGTGTAAACAAGGCGGCATGTGACTGCAGATGAAGACAATCGCTACTTTCTTAATGCAGCCTGTCCGTCCCCCCTGCTGCTCCCACTGTCGGCCACCACATGCCATTGAGTGTTGCGCACAGATTTCATTTAATCAGCCAGCGATCCTACTTCTTATTTTTATTCCCAGCTTACTGGTGAGGAAACTGAGGCACAGAAAAGTTGAAATAATTTGCTCTAAGTCACTAGGGTAGTTATGTTTTTAGAAGACAAAAATGTATGATTTTACTTGTGTGAAAATATCTTTCCATTTGTAATAAAAGAAATGCAACTCACAATGCAGTGATCCACTTTTTTAAGGGATTAGCAAAGATGAGAAACTTTGCTCAGACTCCTAGTTGGCAGGCCAGCATCCAGGGGCACGAGGCTCCCGTACCAGCCGAGAGGAGCTTGAAGTGCTGCCACCTTCCAAGAGGACAGCATGACGAGGCTTTCAAAATTACAGCAGTACTAACTTCCAGGAATTTAATTTTGAGATGTTAACGTCCTCACCAAATGTGAAATGACATATATAAAAGGTTATTTATTATAGTATTATTTGTAATAGCAAAAGATTAGTTGCTATGGAAACAAACAAAAAAAGCTCTAATGCCTTAGGAAAGATATCCAAGACAAAGAGAGAAGGGGGGGTTATACAACAGTGGGGAACATATGCTGCTATCTGTCTAAAGAGAAGGGGGGAGCTGCTGACCTCGTCCTTACATCCACCGATCGTAACATACCCTGCTGTTCCCGCTGCCCACCCCACCCCCAACCTCCCCGCTCCTTCTTCCAGACACACTGCGTGTGTTGTGCGTGTATTTCTGTTCACTAAGAACCCACACGGTCTGTTATGCAAGCTGCTCTGTGCTCTGCTTTTTTCACTTTACACTTAACGCTAACAATCGTCACATTCTCCTTCATAGCTGTACACTATTCCACTGGACGGCTACCCTGTAATGAAACAGTTCCTCACTGACAGACATTTCCACTGTTTATCTTTTGCTTATAATGCTGTAATGAATATTCTTCTGCATGTTATTTCACATTATATCTCAGATAAATTCTTTGAAACAACTGTGGTTGTGGGGAGGGTGGTAGGGTGGATAGAACAATACCGGGAGACTTTTCACTGTAAGCCCTTTTGTGTACATGTATTACCTATTCAGAAAATAAAATATTTTTAAATACAGCTGTTGGTCACAGACTGCTTAACTGTTCCTCACTCCTCTACATATTTATCTTATTATACTTTACAATTAAAGCCAGGCGTAAGTATTTCAAAATTTTATAAAGCAAACTTTCATTGGGCATGGTGGCACACACCTCTAACCCCAGCACCTGGGAGGCTGAGGCAGGAGTACTGCTGCAAGTTCAAGGCCAGCCTGGGCTACATCATTCAAAACCAGCCTGGACTACACAGTAAGTCCCTGTCTCAAAAAACAAAAACAAAACAAATAACAACAAAAGCAAACTTTCATTAAGGAGCCCAGTAGCATTTTTAAGGGGAAAGGTCAAATGGATTTTAGGAGAGCAATTTTAAGTATCAATCCTAGATATCAAGAAAAATAAAGGTGTTCCTTGCCTTTTGGACAAATATGTGTGACGGTAATGTTGCCAGGGACAGTGTTAGGCCCCGCTAAAGGCCAGCTCACAGTATTACCTTGGGGTGAGAGTTTAAGCCCCAAGGGGGAACCTTATACCTGGTTGCTCCTGCCAAATGTCAGTACTTGATGCTTTGTGTTTTGTTTTGGTTTTGAAAACAGGGTTTCGCTGTGTAGTTCAGGCTGGGCTTGAACTCACTGTGTATATATAGCCAGGGTTGGTCTCAAACTCATGATCCTCCTGCCTCAGCCTCCTGAGTGCTGGGATTACAAGCAGATGCCACTGTGCCCAGTTTAATCTCTGAACAGATTTTCTCCTAATCTCTTGAAACATTCCCACACATTCCCAGAGAGGGAGGGAGGGAGAAAAGGAGGGAAAGGAAAGAAGAAGAAAGGAAGAGATGGAGTGTACTACCTAACATGCCTGAGGCCAAGGTCCTGGCCCTGGCTACAATTCCCAGCACTGAAAAAAAAAAAAACAAAAAAAGAGGGGCACAGGGAATGTGATGCCCAGACACCTGTTTGCATAAAAAGTTAAAGCCAATTCTGCAACAAATAAGGCCTTGACAATCTCTCCTGCAAAGTAATGGGAAAACTAAAGATCTTCCAATTGCTACGGAAGAGTATGAAGTTTTCCTAAACGAATTGGCACACTGAACAGAATTTGCGAAACATCTGCTGGCTTTTATGGCCTGCTGGGAAGAGGGCGTCTGGCCAAAGGGGCCTGCAGAAGATCCTCACCCTGAGTACAATGCTGATGTGTCAGGCACACAGCCCAGCATTCGCCTGCTGCTGTCGTTATCCTGCCCCACACGTGAGGACTCTTCGCCACTTTCAGCTGCCTCGGGCAGTCTGCTCAGTGTGAAGTAAGGTGATTTCTCCCTGACCCACTTTTCTCCCTTCCTTTTTGAGACAGGGTCCCACCATGTAGCCCAGGCTGCCCTCGAACTTGGGGCAATCCTTCTGTCTCAGCCTCCTGAGTGCTGGGATTACAGGCATGCACTACCACACCCAGCTCGAATCCAGCTATTTGTAAACATGCAATTCCAATTCTCCCACTCACAGTAGGCACATCTACATTCCAAGGGACCTTGTTTCTGCCCAGCTGACCGCTGCAATTTAATGGAATATATGCTTAGCAACTAAAGCTATGCTGCTTACACTCTCAAGTTTTAAAACCACCAAATCAATAACCCTCAAGTATTCTGAGCCAGGCGTGGTGGTGCATGCCTGTAATCCCAGCACTCAGGAGGCTGAGGTAGGAGGATCGCTGCAAGTTCGAGACCAGCCTGGGCTACAAAGTGAGCTTAAGGCCAGCCTGAACTGCAGAGTGAGACCCTGCCTCAAAAAGACCAAAAAAAAAGTATTCTGGAACAATAGGTCCTAACATTTAAAGTGTAGCAAAATCTTTTCCAGAATGATGAAAGGACGTAAGTAGCCTGAACTGAAAATCTTGTTAGGCCCAGGTACTGGCTGTACGTTTCCGTCCTGGTAATGGGAGTATGGAGACACTTTCTTGGCTGCTTTCTGCCTCCTGCCATGGGCAGCTTAGAAATCTATTCAGGGTTCCAAGATCCTCTTCTTTCTTCTAACCACATGATAGGTTTGTTTCCTCTAAATTCTAGGTCTTTTTTTTGAGACAGGGTCTCGCTATGCAGTTTTGGCTGGCCTTAAAGTCAAGGCAATTCTCCTGCCTCAGCCTCTTGAGTGCTGGGATTAAAGGTGTGCATGACCATGCCCCACAGTTCTAGCTAGGTTTTCTCACATTTCCTTTTTTTTTTTTTTTTTTTGGTACCAGGAAAGCAAGCTCAGGACCTTGCACTTGCCAGGCAGGTGCTCATGTCGCTGAGCTATCCCTGGGCCCATTTTTTTTTTTAATGGCAAGTTTTCTTACTAAATAACCTTAATTCCTACCCAGTTCAGGAAGTTTTTGCTATAACAAACTTTTAGGCTCCCAAGCAAAAGATGGACTTAGCACCCAAGTCTTCCGGAATCAACCCAGTTGTGGTTTCCCCAGGGTTAGCGCTCTGTTATGATGCGCTATGAGATGTGCTCACATGGGAAAGAATGGACAGCGCACTTACACTGCAGGAGCTACTGTTTATCTGAAATGCAAATACACCCAGGCATCCGGCGTTCTAACCCACAGGCCGCTGTCTACTATCTACCATAGGGAAGCAACTGCTGCCTGCTCTGCATGACACCAAAGACATTTTCCACAGTAAGACGGGTGAAGCAACATTTCCTGAAAAGATGCAGACACAGAACGGTCAGATTCTTCAGTGTCTATGTGAGTACAGAGAAGCTCCTCTTCAAGTAATTCGGTACCAGCAGGGTTTGGGCCAAGCCTTCTGGCAGAGAGGCTCCTGGTTTTATGAACCTGGCAGACTGACAAGCACGACAATAAAATGCAGCCGCGCTATCACACGGGAAGAGGCAAACGGGCAATGTTAGAAAATAGCAGGGACAGTAACACATTCGAGATGTGTGAGATGAGAAGGACATTTCATTTGCCCATTCTCGTCTGTTCTGGTCTAGTAACTGGTGTGCAAACTCCCTAATCTGTGACCCACATTTAGAACACAAGTAAGTAAGGACTTTCTTTACAATGAGTTTTTATACATAGTTAGACAAGCACGTATAAGCAGTTTTGAAGGCCAAAAAAGTCACTCTAAATTTTGGGGCTCTGAGGCTCTATACATAATATTGGGGGTTTTTTTGTTTGTTTTTGAGGTAGGGTCTTGCTATGCAGTTCAGGCTGGTCCTGAACTCACCATGTAGCCCAGGCTGCCCTTGAACTCACAGTGATCCTCCTGCCTCAGCCTCCCCCGCACTATCATCAACACCAACAGCCCTCTGAGGGCAGAGGTGCACCTTCTTTCTTCCCAGCAGGACCACGCCCGGCTCTACCGGGTTTCAAGCAGTAACTGAGCCTGAGGTAACATTTGGAAGCTTGGCCTTAGTGTCATGTAGAAGGCAGGTGGAGGGAGGCTATTTTGGCCAAGAGTGAAAGCTTCACATTTTTAAAATAATAGTGGCAAAACACACATTCCTGGATGAAGGAGAATAAAATTGAGAAAAGGATATGATCAGAAGCCTCTAGAATTCTACCACTCCCGGGTTTCTCATTACTACAGCTGGTGGCAACCTCAGGGCCCGGCATCTCGTCACAGTTTGATAGAGAAGGACGACCCACAGGAGCAGCCTTGCTGTGCTTGAGGGTTGTTCAACACTTGAAATGAGCTTCGGATCAGTTCTCGGCTGAAGTCCACCTGGGCGCCCTTCACGAAGGCCAGGCTATCAGAGTCAACCACCACTCTGGCCCCACCCTGTTCAAACACCCTGAAAAGACAGGAGCAAGGCGGTGCTGAACGTCAGCAACACCCAAAGCCCCCGGAGGCCAGAGGTGCGCTTTCTCTTTCTTCCGAGGTACAGGGGAAACACCCTTTGTACCTCTAAGAGGTGCTGATTTTCTCTGAAGGGTCATCGGACCGAACCCTGAAAAGCAAGTTTAAGGGCCTGTGCTGGGAATCTAGCCCAGCTGGCCGCTCTCCCGTCCATCCTACGGACCTGGGCAGCCCACTTTCCAGCGGTAACTTAGTTACGCTGAACGAGGGCGGCAAACGTTCACGCCTGAGTGTGAGACGGGCACTATTACCCGTTTTTAACCCGTCTGTAGGCTCGTGGCGACAGTGCCCGCCGAGCCGGAGGCGCTCTCACCTCCCGATCCCGGGGACCCACCCCTTCCTCCTTGCCTGTCGTCCGCGTTGATGACCGTGTCCAGTGAAAATTTGTACTGGAACCCGGAGCATCCACCTCCCTCCACCTGCAGCCTCAGGAATTCTGACCCTTCGGTGATCTCCAGGAGCCTCTGCAACGCAGACCGGGG